TCAACAGAAGAAGCAAAAGAATTTATTTGATTAGTGCAAATTTTGAAGATCCTATTTAAATAAACAAAAAAAAAAAAAGTAACAATAAATTTTTTATAACGATTCTATAGTTTACGTGACTGATGATTATTTAACAGTTAACAAATCTTTTATTTTCACATTTTATTTTTACATATTTGCACGTTTTCTTCTTTAAGGCTACTGTTTATTTTTTACATTTATATTTTTCTCTTTTCTTGGTCCAGGAATATTTGCATTACTACTACTGAGATACTGTACTATTTATTTTTTACATTTTTATTTTTAATTTGTTTATTACACGTTACTCTGGTTATATCGACATTTTTGAGACATTAGTAAAAAAATCCAAAATATCGATATAGTGAATTATACCGACATTTTATATTAAATTTTTGAAAAAAATTGTTGGTATAGAAAGATTTTACTATGGTGTTGTTATATTCAGATGTCAGTATAACCAGAGTGATGTGTATTTAATACTAGTTGGTAGAAGAACTTCACATTAACTTTATTTCAAAGTTACATTTTCTTTGGACTTTGAAATATAGTATAGAAGAACCTTACCATCGACGAGCAATTTCTTCTGTTGGACACCACTTTTGCAAAAACTTTATTTCAAATTTACGGGCTTTGGGATGTTGGACACCACCAAAGCTACATTTGCTTCAGACTTTGAAATAAAGTTAGAGGAATTTTGCAAGTTGACGAGTAATTTTCTTCTGTTGGACACCACTTTTCATTTAGTTCTTTTACGATGAGACTTAAATAATAATTTTTCTTTCTTTAATATTTTGTAAACTATAATTAATAAAATTTTTTTTTTTCTTGGTCTAGACTCTTCTAATATACTGTGATTCCGTTCTCCTCATAAATTGAATTAAGTATTTGCCGATTTCTGGTTTTTCCCAACTTGTAATTTAATTTGTTTATAAAAATTTATAATTTTTGTCAATATTGTTCTAATTATTATTTTTTTTTTTTTTTTTTTAGAAGCTTGACAATGATATTATAGTGGATTCTCATCACCTTTTGTTTATCGTTTGGGAGATTATTTATCCGGGTATTTAGATTTGAAAATGTAAACCTGAGTCTATAATAAGACTCTTTTAAAATTAAAGATGCAAAAAATTTTACAATCGCGTTTTTTCAACAGAAGAAGCAAAAGAATTTTATAATTGCGTTCTCTTAACAATTAAAGAAGCAAAAATTATTCTGTATCATTAATAATAATGAATAAAGTTTTTATTATTATTTGGTTTGAATTTTTTTTATTTTGATACCAGTATTAAAAAATTTGGATAATAAATATTTGATTATGTATTTCGTTTAGTTTTAAACATAAGGTTATCATAATAAAATTACAAAATCAATAACAGCATATAATGAATTTCTGCACTATCGCTATAATTTTAATCTCCCAATTCTACTCGAGTAGCCCATAAGATATTAATATATGAGTAGGAAAAAAATATATAGATCATGTAAGTTAAGCGATAATTGTTTAAAATGGTATGAATTATTTCAATAATACCCTAAATTATTTACATTTAAAAAACGTAACTTGTATAATCATTAATGTATCGAGATAAATTAGACTGCATCAGGAAATATAACGATAAAACAATACGTAGTAATTAATCATATCCTAAATACTAAACCCTAATCTTGGGAGGTTAATGATTCATTATTTAAAAATTTGTCCGAGTGATGTTTTTAAACCTTGAGTATCAGGGACCGTCAAAAAATTCGTGATTTTAAAGTTCTAATTAACCAATTGTAATAGAGTTACTCCTGTCGAACGTTTCAAAAATTGAACTGTCCCTGTGATTTCGCATATCGGCAGATAATAGATGTTCGCTGATTTTGTATAACCAATAGAATTTGAGTATTTTAACAACCAATAAAAATGAATTTCCACTATTGCTATGCCTTCACGCGAATTATTTTTTTCATAAATGCAAGACTACGTTCAACAAGAAAGTGAATTTCAAGCTGGTATTCCGCCACGTCTTGTGTCTGTATTTTATTCAATGTTCGATCCGGATAAAGGACCTCAAGTAGTTTTTGATGTACCAGAAGGTTTCATTATTTCCAAATATATTGTTCCAACACCAGCGTTATGTGGTCATTTTGGTAAATATTTGTACGGATTTTCATCAAGTCATGGGGCAATATGGGGGAACCATTATCCTAGGAATAAATTTACGTTTAACTTGAGTTTCTATTTGTTCGCGGTGCTGACACTTCAAGTTATTGCACGGGTTTTATGTGACAACCCGTGCTTTTTTCATTTACTTATTGGCACGGGATTGTTACGTCAGACACCGTGCAATAAAATAGT